CCTGGTTTTTTTTCTATCTCTTTTCTCAAACAGAGCATTAGAAACCTGGCAGAAGTTTCCATTAGTTTCCTCTCTAATCATGTGGTTCTAGACCAGCCTTTCTGAGCCAGGGTGCCTTCTGGCTCCCTAAGGGGTGCCTTGAAATTTCCTCATAGCATCATGCCTTTCAGTGGTGCAGGTAGGCTGGCCGCCTTTACCATGGAATCTAATGATGATAATGGAAGGGAGGGTGGAATCCATTCAGAAAAGGACGAAGGTTCGCCTTCATCCAAGCCTGCTCCACTTCCTTCTCTCTTCCATGCTGCCTCAGCTGTGGCTCCTTATGTAAAGGTAGGACTCTTATGAAAGGGGCTGTCTGATGTAATTGGGGGCTTCTGATGTGAAGGGGCTTATGATGTGAAAGAGGGTTCCTAGTGTTAGAGGGGTGACTCTGATGTGAGGGGGCGCTCCCAATGTGAAAGGAGGGATTCTGATGTTGCAATTTAGAGAAGGTGCTAATAATTTTGTCCAGTCCATTTTTGGAGTTTTGCGTGGAATGTGTCAGATTTGGCTTTTTTTCTCAACTTTTTTGTAAAATACCAATACAAACAAAAGATAAAACATGATAATGTCTAAACATTTGTAAATGCAGCAATTTTCTGCACAAAGTGGTGCATTATCTGACAGAAATGCAGGGGTGCCAATATGTTTAGCCATGACTGTATGTTGCCGGCATCTGTCAAAATGCCATTCTGCGGCAGGTGTTCGTCACAAGTGGATGAGACGGCAGTAGTCACTTTTTTAAATGATTATTTCTAATAATTTTTTATTGTTAGGAATCTGGGTGCCCCCGCCCCGTGTGAATGAGTAAGGGGTAGTTGTTACCCCAACGTACCCCCTGGTGAATGAGTAGGGTTAGTTGTTACCCCTACTCATTCACCAAATACAGTAACATTGTATTGGTTGTCACATATAAATGTTTCAGCAGCTCTAGAGCTACCTGATTAATTGTATGCTGCTGAGGAACCCGTTCCCCCCCCCCTTCTGCCAGCTATCCCGGGCTCCTTTGTTCCCCATGTGTGCCCGTGACCAGCACAGCGTGCATCAGTGGATGGATCAGAGGGAGATCAGCATATTTCCAGTGTGTGATTTCTTTCTCCAATCACTGAACCCGGAAGCAATAAGGGTTTCGTCACTTTCAGTTTCAGGCTGTCATTTCTCTGCTGTGGCTGCAGAAGAAGCTGGTAAAGCATGATCTGTGCTTCAGCAGCTTCTTTAGGGTCCATAGGTGACATGAGGGGGTCTAATAGACCCCCATGTCTTCAAAAAGAGGACCTGTCACTTCCTCTATGCTATCACATAAGTGGCACACGTTACATATCACCAAGAACGTCGGATTGAGAGCAATAATTTTAGTTTCATCATGTACTCTTAAAGTGGACCTTTACCCCCTTTGGCTAAAATCATATCAACATGCAGCTCTGCATGCTGATATGAAATCATCTTACATTCATTAGTTAAACATATTTTAATTTTACTTACAATTTCTGGTTCTCTACTTCCTGGTTCTCCTGGTAAAAGTGATGTAATGTGCCCATGCTTTGCATCCTGGGAAGGTTACATCAACAGAGCATTCTTGGGAAATCTCCTTGGTAACTCCCGAGATCTCAGGAAAAGGCGTTTTCTTCCCCTGAGGTGATGTGCATGGTCATATGTCCTAGTCACATGTACCAGAGTTCCAAGAAGTAAAGGGAGATATATTATTCTGCCCTTAGTAAAAATGGCCACTGTCAGAAGACAGGGGAGGAAAAGAGAAATAAGGTATGTAAAAATACAAAGCTTGCAATTATCTAGAAGTATGTGTTTGTAGATTGTCATTACTAAACATTTCTAAAGGTGTCTTTGTTGTCATGCCAAAAATATGGGTAAAGGTCTGCTTTAACTTAACTTAAATTGATGTGCGGTAAAGGCTTTTAAAGCATTTCCTATGGGCAATTTTGGGTACTGTTTGCCATATCATGATTGTGTGCAATTTTAAGGTTTGAGATGTTTAATATCTTATGGCCTTGCCAGGAAGGGGGTCTAAACACCTGGTCTTGAAGTGGTTAAGGAAAAATTACTGAAAATTTTGCACAAAAAAAAACCTGTTTTCCCCATGTTAAGCTATGAAACATTTCACATAAATAATCTTGCTTCATAAATGTAGGCCAAAATCTATTCTGGTACATTTCTTTGGTAAAGAAAAAAAAAAACCAAGGCTGGCACTAATGGCAATCAGGATTCTGACGGACTGACAGACTGGCACTGTGGCAATCAGGACTCTGACTGGACTGACAGGCTGGCGCTGCTGGCACTCAGGATTCTGACTGGACTAGCAGGTTGGCACTAATTGCAATCAGGACTCTGACGGACTGAAAGGCTGGCGCTGCTAGCACTCAGGATTCTGACTGGATTAGCAGGTTGGCACTGTGGCAATCAGGACTCTGATGGACTGAAAGGCTGGCGCTGCTAGCACTCAGGATTCTGACTGGACTAGCAGGTTGGCACTGTGGCAATCAGGACTCTGACTGGACTGACAGTCTGGCACTGATTGCAATCAGGACTCTGACTGGACTAGCAGGTTGGAACTGTGACACAATTTCTGCTAAAATATTTGCTGTATAACAAAGTATTATTTGAACTGGTTGTCACTGTCTCCTTTCCTCTCACAAATGAACAGTGTGTGAAAGATGAGGAGAGAACGCTGGAAACTGCTACAATGTTTCCATCTAGTGACCTGCTGTGATTGGTCATAGCAATCACATAGAACAGAGCCGATTCCACTGGCTCCTAAGTGTTATATTTAATATAAATCATAATATGTAGTAATATTAGCGTTTAATTTTACAGTTTGTACCTTTTTTTAATTTTTGTCAAAAATCCTCTTTTCTATGTTTACAGTTAATTTTGTCTGTGACCTGTGGACTCAAATACAAAACCTTTTCAGCTTTTTCCAATGAAATAACTTGCAGTCGGTAGCTTTCTAATATCTTTTTTGAATTACCCCTCCGGAGTTGCACTGTGAAAAGTGATAACGCAGCTTATAAACCTGCTGGAGACTTTCTTATTCCTGTAACGATACAATAAGCAGCTCGTGATCAGCTCCACACACACAACTTCCTCTCCCCAATTCTCAGCTGTCTTCCTGTTTGATCACGTGTCCTCCCCCAGTCACATGACTCAATGTTATTAAAGGAGCTAACAGGCAGAGGACGACAAAGGAGAAGCTGCAAGTGTGAGAGGTGAGTGCTGTGTAATGGGAGAGCTGCTGCACTGAGCTTGCTCTGACAGTAAAACAGAATATAGAGAAAAAGACTCAAATACTGACTAGTGCCCTATGGAAACCTTGCAGGATTTATTTATGGATCATTTACTGATAGCATGTGATTCAGGGTCTGCAGGTAAACTTGTTACAGAATGAACACTGCAGATCGATGGAGCTGGAAATGTTCCCTTGTGCATGCCAAGGGAAACAGATTGAAGCTGATTTACTAAAGAAGATGAATCTAAAAAAAAGTGTGTGAATATTTACTTGTCATTAGATAATTGAAGTGAACACTGACACCACTTTTTCAATGAAGGTTCTTAATATCTTTAGTAAATCGGTTTGTTTTAATTTGCAGCATCTCAGAAAGTTAGGAGGTGTGTCCTAATTTGATTATCTTCTTCGTGCCCATCTCTGGGGGAGCAAAAAATCTCCCCTTGCACTGGGGCTAGACCCAGGGGTTAACTGCTCATTTATGTCTAGGGGACCTGTATGAAGAAGTTTGACTTAGCTGATCCCCTCCGCTGACAGTCGGCCCTCTCTTCTCTCCCCTACGCTCCATCTTCTGTCCCTTGGCGTCCCCATGTAAAATGCAGGGCTATGGACCCTGTATTGGATGCGACGACATCAGTGAGCCTCGGCCCACTGGGCCGTAAGGGGAAGAGGCTGCAGGTGCTGGTCTTTGAGCCTGCTGGAATGGGTATCAGGTAGGTCAAACTGCTTTACATCAGTCCCCTAGACCTTAATGAGCAGGTAACCCTTGTAGTCCGGGGATAGGCCTACTGCACGGGGAGATTTTTTTGTTTTCCCCAGAGATAGTCTTTAAAGAGCAAAGGAACTGAGGCTGCACCGCCATGGAAATAATCTATTTTATTTTTATTGATACAGGGTTCTGTACTGTCTTTATTTTCATATCTCCAGAATGGTTGGTCATATATTTAGACTATATTGGCATATCACTATCTTTAGACCCGTTTCTGTGCTCTCCACTTTTGGTGCAGTGGTGCCCCTCCTGATCCACCTTGGAGGTAAGGCTTGAAATCACTTCATTTAGGTCTCTCCACCATGACAGATTAGAAGGGAGCCCAGAAGCGGCTCTTGAATTAACAAGGCAGCACTGGAGAATGAGGCAATTTGAATGCCAACCTCTACGGTAGATCAAGAGGGGCGCTACTGTGACAAAAGAAGAAGAGAGCCCAGAAGTGAGGGGTGGGGGCGGGCAGGGGTGTGTGGATGGAGAACTTCTCCATCAGCAACTCTGAGTCTTTGCCCTGGGTGACAGAATGTCTAGCTTCGCCACTATCTAGAACAAAGGATTTTTCACTTCATCATAACAAGATGAAATAAGCTGTGGGCAGCTTTACTGGCGTCCAACCTCCGGGCGCACCCAACTGTGATGTTGTATAGGAGATTTATACTTTTTTGCTTCAATTTACCATGAAGCAGTGTAAGGAACAACCTCAGTATTTATTACTGCAACAGTAAAGAATACTGGTCATCTTGCAATCCCTTGTGGCCTTAAACATTTATGCAGTGCATATAACATAATGTTAAAGCATATAAATGCTGCAAATGACCTAATGCTAGCTAAACCTCAAAGCTTTATGGGGATGTAGTGACCAGAGACACTGGGGAATATACATGACATTTCTTGCTTATATAATGTTATCTCAATAAAGGGGCCTTTAACAGGACATCTTTTGGTTTTTACAGGGGGCTTTCCAGATGACTCGGAATGTTTCGGCAAACGACAATGGATAGAAGGAAACTAACATTGATTACCTGTCTGCTCTTTATGACATGTACAGCATGCTTTACAGCACCCTCATATGTGGAAGGTCCTCAGCCTTCCCAGTGCTCTGTGGCTCCCTGCAGCCGGTTTGACTGTGCACCTGATAAAGGTGTAAGTAAGGAGGAGTGTGAGGCTCGGGGGTGCTGCTATTCTCCAACATCTGAACAATTGGGAATAGGACAGCCCTGGTGTTTCTTTGCCTCCAACTATCCAAGTTACAAAGTGACCAACAAATCTGAAACAGAAAATGGATTTACTGCTACACTCACACGTTCCATCAAAACATTTATGCCGGATGATATTAATGAGTTGCTGCTTGATATTTTACTTGAAACTGACAGCAGACTACATTTTACAGTAAGTATTTTTTGCCTAATTTTTTGTGTAATTAACCTAATTGTATCTTTAGCCCAACTCAGAAACATTTATTTTGTTTTGGATAGATTGCTATTGCTGTCTGCCTTCCTGTCCTGGTGGCGAACAACCTCTCTATTTCTTGTCCTGGTGCTACAGGAACAGGAAGTGAGGAAAAACTCCCTAGTGGGCTCACAGACAGAAATAAAAACCTGACTGTCTGACTTACAATATACTCAATATCGCAACATACAACGAAAAACCAATTTTCTGTAGGGGGAATGGGAGAATTTATAATGTACTGCATATGTCTTCAATCTTTAAAATGCCTTGACATGTACAACACCTCCTTAGCAGTCAAAGGGTTATAACAAGCTTGCATCTCAAAAGAAGCCATGAGCATGTGTAAAAAAATTTCAGCCACCCCTAGGCTTTCTTGCAAAAGTGTTTTGGGTGGGTGAACCTTGTGTGCCCCTGCCTGCATACACCGTAATTTCAATGGTAAAAATGAGGCTATTGCGTGCAGTTCCAGAACTTTAAAAAAAATACAGTACTTTTTTTTTCTGGTCTGGAATGCACAAAAATGCATGTAACCACGTGCAAACACACTGGAACATGCTTAAGGGCTTTTTTTTCCACCAGCCTGCACGTCTACCGCAATGTCCTGGGCCCGGAACATAAGGGATCACAATTTTTTGTGATCCAACTGCACTGGAACGCAGGGCATTTTATTACCACGCGCTTTGTGTGGCTGATCGTACTGTGGGCGAGGGGCTTGTCTGCAGTGCCATTGACTTGAATGGCAATGCCACGCCCCCTCCCGCCCCAGAATGCAAGGAGACTTTATATATGCGATCCCTTGCGTTCCGGGCATGGGACGTTGTGGTAGACGTGCAGGCTGGTGGAAACAAGCCCTCAAACCCAAGCGAAACCAACTGAGAAGAACAATATCAAGAACACCTTAAAAACGCATATGACCTGGTTTGCAGAAACACCTCCAGATTTGGTCTGGAAAGGTGTGAACAAGTCCTTAGGATGGAGATTGGAGGAAGATTGGTAAACATCCATTCATTGATTCTCCCTCATTGTAGTGAACCAAGAAGAACTCCGCTCTGAGCACTTTTGGATCTGCTTGATCTCACTGTAGGAGACTAATAGATCCAAAATCCCCTTGCCTCTCTCCCTCCACACCCCACGCTGCTGTATTTAAGCATCTCTCAACACTGGTGCTTACTTCTCTGACAGTGACGTCCTCTTGAAGTGTTTAAATCTTCTGTAAAGAAATCTCCTCTGGAGCTGCCTATGCTCGCACAGTAACTCCTTCAACATAAAGGGAGCCATAGACTCTAGGACTAGGCGTACAGCTCTATTCAAGTCTATAAGGAATTACTGTGCAGACGCTGGCAGGCCTGGGGATTTCTGCATGGAGAATGCAAAACATTGTCTGAGAGGTAAGTGTGCACCAGGGTTTGGGGGGGGCGGGGGGGGGTAGAGCGGGGGAAATGTAGCTGTACTTTCAAATACAGTACATTTATCATGTTTTACTAAATACATAACTGCAGTTCTTTGTGTATTTTTAATTTTGTCTTTAGTTCAAAGTAAATTTAGCAGTGCTTCTGTGCCTCGGATAACATTATAGAGATTATCTACAATAACCAGACAGAGCAGTTTGGGAGCCTCTAAATCTATGCAGCTTTCTTCTCTATAGGTATAGTACTTACTGTACCATTTAAATATGCACCAAACTGCTATTGTCTAGCACCCTTTTCTTTCCATATCTGTGGTAAATTAAAAAGGTCAAAAGGATTTCTCCATAGTTTCCAACTGATCAACAGCACCACAAGCATGCTTTACATGTAACAAATTTATGTTCATTGGTAAACTTTTTTCTTTCTGTATTTTAATCTATTTTTTTTCCCGTTGATTCCAGTCAATTTGGTAATTTTTCTTAAATTTCATTTGTAGATTAAGGACCCAACAAAAAAGCGTTATGAGGTGCCCATGCACACCCCTAAAGCCAAAGGAAAGGCATTTGCAGTCCAGTATGATGTTCAGATTACTGATGACCCCTTCAGCCTTGTGGTCAGAAGAAAGTCCAATGGACAGATCGTGTAAGTAGTAGATGGTCAGCTAGAAGGATGTGAAACATACATCTTTTTTTTTCTTCTTTTAATATTTTAGTTATTTCATTTTTCTACATAAAGAAGTATGGGAGACAAATCAACTGATGCATGTTTTTCAGAAATGCGGATGGTTTCATTTGATAAACGGCTGTATTCTGTTTTGTAACAGACCTAAAATGTGGTCTCCATCAAGATGTTGATATTTGATTTTGAAAGGTATTGATGCACCACAGTTGAGGATCCTCTACGTTTCTATCATGTAAATTGGGTCCTATAGGGCATCAGACCAGTATAGCAACCAAAAAAAGCCTAATCATGTCACTCTCTACTGCAGTGTTTGTTCTTCCTATGTAGTTGAACCCTGCATCTACTAGACCATTTACATTGTGTACAGTAAATCTGCTGGAGAGTTTGCCGGAACCCATTTCCTGGGATCATTTGTAGTCTATCGTTTAAAGCTCCCCAAACCTTTTTGTGGATTAGGTAAGGAAGGAATTTGAGCCTTTGTAGTCTGGGTCCCTTTTGTGGAGATTTCCCCTCACTTTTGTCAGGGCAGGAAGTTCTAGAAAATCTTTCCAATGAAGATGGACAAAAAACATTTTTTTTTTTTTTAGTGAGTCTGAGATTTCCTCCCCCTCTTGACAACAGCTTCCTTTATTTCTTGTACATGTGGGTAGATTTGCACTCTGCATTTGTCCTGATGGCGATTGTCACTGAGACAGATAGTGAGGGGAAATAGAAAATTGATTTCCTTGGTCTACATCATTCATCTCTTTTCTCATCATCCTTATGTTGGGGTCATGCTCCTATTTTTGTTGTTGTTAGGAATAATGTACCCCTGCTGTAAGTTAAAATTGTTCACGAAGGAGATCCGTCATCATTTTAAATAGTCTGCAACCGTGTAGATTTTTAAGGGGAGTCCTTTTTTATGAGGAACTTTACCCTTATCTTTAAAATTACAAAAAATACACCTTTAGAGATGTTTAGTAATGTCAATCTATAAACAGATGCTTATAGATAATTGCAGGTTTTTTATTCTTTGTATACATTTTGTTTTCCTCCCCATTCTTCTCACAGTGGTCATTTTCACTAAGGTCAAATAATCCACTTCCCTTTACTTCCTGGAACTCTGGGTCTGCCTCCTGAAACATGTGATAGAGCATGTCATCTGAGGGAGGAAAACAAATTCCTTTTCTTTTAGATCTTGGGAGATTTTGAAGTTTACAGATGACCCAGGAAGGCACTAGGATGCATCTGTGCCAGGGCTGCATTGACAGTGCCTCACTCATTCAAAGCAAGTTTGAATGTAGGACACCCTAACCGTCCTCTCCGCTCTTCACAAGACCTCCTGCTTTCCAGCTCCGTCATCAGCTCCTCCCATGCTCGCCTCCAGGACTTCACTGGAGTGTCTCCCATCCTTGGGAACTCTCTACCCCAACCTGTCCGTCTATCTCCCACACTGACTGCCTTTAGGCGATCCCTTAAGACTCATCTCTTCAGGGAAGCCTATCCCACCTCACCCTAACCACTGAACAATCACTTTCTCAAACAATCATCCCCGCACAGCTACCTCCTCATGTATCACTTGCCCCTCCCTTTTAGACTGTAAGCCCTCACGGGCAGGGCCCTCCTTACCATCTTGTCTTAAATTGTATTGTGACTGTAATGTCTTCCTTATATTGTAAAGCGCTGTGCATCCCACCCATCTACTAGCAACCAGTAGCTGGTGCCCCCCCCTTCCACCACCACAATGGGCAAGACGTCTATGGATGCCCCTGGCTGTGATGCCATCCAATCACTTGTATATGCTGGCAATGTGCTGTACCTCTCTTCCAAAACGACCCTGGACTCTCTGCTGCTCCTGGGAACCCGGGGCTTACAAACACTGCATCAGGATGCTGAACAGAGGAGGAATGAGGGACATCCATTCCTGTCTGATTCCATTGGAGAAGTTTTGCCTGACTCCCTGTCCCCCGCATTAATTTATTTTTATTTAATAATTATTATTTAAACCTATTTTTATTTGTACAGTTTGTTTATTTTTATGTCACAAATAAAAAAAACATTTCATTTACACATTACTTTGCATGGCTTTGTAGCAGAAATGTAATTTTGGTATCATTATAAAGTGTACAAATGATATAACATTTTATATTTTTTATTAGTAACACTATTTTATTTTAAACTAACATAGATCAAAGTAGACATTTTAAGGATTTTTTAAAAACATATTTTTCTTCATAGATTGCATAAAAAATAGATTCACTTTTGCCAGACAGTACCCCCCCAAAAGAGCATTGTTTTGTCCTGCCAAAAATATTGGCACCCCTGCATTTGTCAGATAATGCACCACTTCATGCAGAAAGTAGTTGTAATTACAAATGTTTAGGCATTCTCATGTTTATTTATATTGTTTGTATTGGTATGGCACAAAAAAGTGGAGAAAAAAAAGCCAAATCTGACACATGCCTAAACATTTGTAATTGCAACAATTTTGTGCACAAAGTGGTTCATTATTTGACAGAAATGGAGGGGTGCCAATATTTTTGACCATGACTGTATATGTATTGTGTTATGCTTAACCCTTTAGCTGCCACCGACTTATCTCATGCTTTGCCAGCAGCAGGACCCTATAAACAGACTCCCAACTGCTATAGCAGCCAGGAGTCTTGTTTAGGGCTCGTTCACACCAGACACAGTGCCCGATTTCTGGCGGAACGCACGGGATCCTATTGCGGCCGGGTCACTTTGTTGTGGGGAGGGACGGGGCATGGCGGTGCCTTGACCTCAATGGCACTCTAGTCACGCCCTCCGGCCGCATGGGAACGCAAGGCACATCGATGCCTGCGGTCCGTTCAGAAAAAATACTGCTACCACTATTTTTTTTTCTGACTGGACCACAGGCATTGATGTGCCTTACGTTCCCGTGCGGCCGATCGCATTGCGGCCAGAAGGCGTGGCTGGATTGCCATTCACTTCAATGCACCACCATGCCCCCTCCCACCCCACAACAAACTGAGCCAGCCGCAATGCGATCCAGTGCGTTCCGGCCACAATCGGGCCAGAACGCACTGAGGATGGTGTGAACGAGGTCTTGCGTATCATAAGCTGGCTGTACAGCCACCCGATCACATCCACGGGCTCTGAAATGTGCACTTCCCCATTCCCCACCCATCTATTTGTAGCTTCTGTTTATGCAGAAGTAAATGGTTCATGTGCCTACTCCACACCCACTGCGTTTTCCATGCAAGGTGATATACTTCTCAAGAAGAATGGCTCCACAGGCCAAAATGAATGTCAAAAGGCTGCAAAGCTGCTCAAAGGCTTTTGGAAAGCTGTGTGTAGTGATAAAATGATATAAAGCTTTATGGTAAACTCAGTGGATGTTTTGAGTAGAACTGCGGCAATTATAATTGGATTTTACTAGCAGTTCCCTGTGTGATAATATTTGTGTCCTGGAGCAGCTCTTTATTTGGCTTTGCGTTCTGCTTTTTTCCCAGGATGAACACTGCCTTGGCTCCATTGTTCTTTGCAGACCAGTTCCTACAGATTTCCACATCCCTGCCTTCTCAATACTTATATGGTTTGGGAGAACATCTCACTTCCCTTAACTTAGACACCGCCTGGTCCCGTCTGACATTTTGGAACAGAGATATTTCACCGCAGGTAAGGGGAATGAACCTGTGTATTGGAATTAACACAAAATCCCTCGGTCAGCTATGTACATTGTTAAGAATTGTTAACCTGCAGTTTCAGATGTAAAGACTTGTTTACACGATGTGCGGTGACTTGTTTTTTTTCGCATTGGATCAACGCCAGTCACTGCTAGGGCATATAGAAAGCAATGCTGTCTGTGTCCCATTCACCCCACCGCATGGGTGTGATGTGTGGTGGGCTGTGGTAAAATGCAGACGTACTGCATTGGTCCGCGGCGCACTGGATTGCAATGAAGGTCACCACATTACAGTAGTGTAATGTAAAGCCCTGACATGCGTAGACATGAATGGGATGTACACTTCATTACTTGGGACACATTTACTAAAAGAAACCCCAAAAAAGAAAACTGTGCTTACCATTGCAACAACGGAAGGCACTGTGGCTCACCGCTGCCACCTAGCGTATACTAGCAATGTAGTAAAACAATGCATCTTACCCAGCAGCTAGTGTGAACGGCCCCTAACTGTTTATATTTTGCTTTTTAATTTTGAAGCACAGTAGAACCTCCTACAGTAAAGACTGAAGGTGACCACATGTTTCATTCCATCACAGCTCCAAAAAAATACAGGATTCAATCCTCATTTTAGAATACTGGGCAGAGCCACCCAAATAATTTCTTTATGCCAATGTGACTTACTGTTGATGGCTGTGGCCACTAACCTAAATGAGGAATAATCAGTTAATTTTTTTGGATCTATGATAGAATTATTTATTTTAACAAGGGTTTACAGGGGGGGGCGGGGGGCTTTTCAGTTCATTTTAGCCAAATTCACCATAATCTTACTAACTTTATTGACCTTAAGAAGAATTTTTGTAAGACCTATGGGACCACTTCTCATACTTGGCATTTCATAGCTGAGCAGTTTGAACCAGTAGGATTAAGCTTTAAGCTTTGCTCTTCTGCTATTTGGTTCCATGTAAGCTGTTTTGTGGTTGTGATATATTTGAGTTCTACCACACTACCTCGCAGCAGTAACATATGGTAAAACATGCGCTTTATCACACAACAAATGGTAGTGCACTGTGCATGTTTCTGAATGGCAGCCTAACCCATGTCCGGAACACAGCTGCATTGCGGTGCTCTACATAAAAATGCAGCAGGACCTATTATTGGACCTGGATGTATTATTATATGGCGCATTGTGTTTTGATGTAATTGGGCACTTAGATGGGCTAGTTTCAGATGGTTCACAATGGATCACATACTATTTAGCTCCTCTTCCAATGAATGTAGATAGTATTTTGTGTTTTCAACAATGCCTCCATTCATTTTCCTTCTTCTCTTCTGTTAGACTTCAGTACTTTCTTAAAATTAATCTGTACTTTGCCCATTTAAAGCAATGCATAAAGTTTATTTAAAGTGGAACTAAACCCGCTGATGTAAATGTTTACCAAAACTGTTACATTCAAGGCATGCATCTGGTGTTAAATGTCACAATTACCAGTATATTTATGCCATCTCTCAACTGAAGCGAACATGAAATGTCATAGCTGATCACATGTGCAGCACCGAGGAAACTGCAGATTTGAACACAGTCTAAAGCTGGGTACAAACTGTTATATAACAGATTCCTCCAGCCATGCCAGTGTGTATAAACGCCAGGGTTTCCAGGCTCTGCCGCTCCTCTGGGGGGCCCAGGACCATGTCAAATGCACTAAGGATGGCGAGTGGGAGAAGACCAACGAATGTCTGTTTCCTGATATGCTCTATGTTTACTGAAGTGGGAAGCACTGTGCTCTCAGCAGTTCCTGCTTCAGAGCTGTCAGAAGCCTGGTTGAAAGTGCCGGATAAACGGACTATCAAGCACAATCCTGTGCTCGATGTTCTGCATTGGAGGGCAGGGGAGACATAGGGGTCTAATAGACCCCTGTTGACTCAATAAAGAGAACCTGCTACCTTCCAATTCTGTCAAAGGAGCTTGTTACCCCCTTTGTGTTAGCAATGAAGTTAAGTGAAATTTTTTTTTCTGTGTAATTTTCTTATTGCAAATCAAAACACAAATACAAGGACGCGTAGGTACTTATAAATGGGAATCAAATAAGAACAGAGTAAGTAACAGTCAATGATCCAGTAAGGTGATGTAAAAGACATACATAAATATGCATATACATGATAAAGAGTAAAAAACAAACATATCCAGGTATCAAAAGAAAACAATATATTATGGTAGCGAACCAAAACAGAAAAATATAACAATGGTTGAACTTGATGGACTTGTGTCTTTTTTTCAACCTGACTAACTATGTAACTATGGTCCAGAAGCTTAAATGGAGATAAGCAATGACTGGATCAACAAATATACAATAAAAGCACAAACCAGGGAAGGATGAGAGCAGGAGTAAAAGGACAGGAAAACGAGATGAGCAGATGGTGGAAAGGAAGGAAGGAGGGGAAACGAAAAGGAAATATAATACCCCCAAAGGAGGGAGATATCCAAGTAGTCAATATATAAAATGGGTCATAAAAATTTAAAGGGCTAAGAGACTGACATCAAAATTCGTAGGAAGAGAACGCCGGATCCAGGGGTCTCAAATTTTCTTGAATTTTGCCACTGTTTCAAAAAATTTGGCCGATAGTTTTGTGTTGGCAAAGGTGTCATGAAACCGGGATGTAACCTCGGAAAATCATAAAAAGGGGGAAGCAAGGCACTAGCTATCTATAGTCTGCCTTGCCGCCGTTAAGGATGTGAGTGATAAGTTTAAAGTCTATCTTTTTAGAGAGCTGAGGACAACACAAGACGGTTATCAGAGGGGAATCTTATTATGCGCTTCCCACAGGGTAATCGGAGAAATATCTGGAGTAAAATTAAACGACAGATAATAATAATAATAATAATCTTGGCTCTAGTAGATGACACATGACACTCGTTGAAAGGAGGTAGTCATTTAACGCACAGGAAGGGTCAGCAAAGAAGATAGTGTGAGTAGCACTGCAGAATGGTCCGACCAAAAGATAGGAAGAATAGAGGAGGAAAATACAGAGGGAAGCATAGTATGAAAGACAAACATATGATCAATTCTGCAGAGATAGACGTTTTTGAAAAGGAGGGAGAATTGGGGGATTTATCCAGGGATGGGGAAATGGCGAGATTGGAATCGAAGCATAAGATAAGAGTGCCCGTCCGATGCTGATCTATGAGAAAAAAAGAGGCGCTAAAAGAAAGGGAGAGGGTTAGAATTAGGAGCATAATATGTCACTATAGATACATCTAGGTCAAACAATTTTTGCCTAAGAGGATCAAATAAGGATCTGCTGGGTCAACGATCTCTCTGCTGCACACAAAAGGGAGAGATTTACGGAAGCCTATAAATGCACCACGGTTTTTGGAAGGACCACTAGCTACAGTAGATAAGTTTGGGGAAAATGAGGGCTAAAGTACTTAGGGGCCGAGGAGCTGGAAAAATGGGTTTCCTGGAGGCACACAATATCCACATGAGATGAGCGAAAATGTTTAATGGCCATAGTACGTTTGTGGGGAGAATTTAAGTCCCTTCACAATCAAAGAAAGTATGCGTAAATAAGCCATAAGGGAGGGATAGGAGAGGCCAATAGCCAAAAAGCTGACGGGTCTAAAAATTGATACTAGACTCTGCAAGACACCAAACGGGACTCTATCTAACATGATAGACATATTATGAAACATATGACTTGTGATGGGTAATCTAGCGTGAGCAGATGTGTTTTGTGATTTCTGTATGCCTTTTAAAATAGCTTTGATAGGGTGTGCCGCAAATAATGAAGGTCTGTCTGGGTATTTTAAACCCAGAAAATGTTGTATCCCTTCCAAATACAATTGTATTTTGTTGTATGATAACTTAAGATCATTATGACAGGAATGACAGCTGTCCTTGAAATGCATTATCTAGGTTTCCAGTACTCATTGGAAATGAGCTGGATTACAGCAGTCAGTGATTTGTGGTGGTTGCTATAGCTGAGCCCGAGCATAGGCCACTCTGCCTACACTCAGACACTGGATGAGCTGTCACTCAGTCAGGAGAAGAGACTTGAGGAGGACTGGATTCCAGCTAGAGATTCTGCTGGCCCTTTTTATTTGCATTCCAATATGTATATGCCCATCCTATACTTACTGGTGTGTTTATTTTGTTTGTAGTTTGCCAAGAGCATTGGGGTTCTTATAAATCATTCCCGTTGCTTTATAAGAACCACACAATACTTTGTGCATATGACGGCTTGAAAAATCCGCTCGTCTGTGACGAGCGGATGGCGGAGGCCGACGAGCAGCTTCCCGTCCGGCCGCTGTAATTACACAGCCGGCCGGGAGCTTTACATTCAAGCGATTGAGCAATAATTTTAGGGCCATTAATTACTGATAACACTAAACTGTTGAGAGGTAAAAGCGTTTTAAGCGTCGCCTATGGCCAATTTTCAGTGTGGTTGTTTTTTGCGATTTTTGTGGGTGCACGCAATTTTAAAGCTTGACATGTTTGGTGTCTATTTACCCGACGTGACCCAGTCTTTTATGTTTTACCAAAAATATGGGTAAGAATAGATGTTTTGTAAATAACTTAGGGAAACTTTTTTTTAATTTTTTTATTTACTGTACTTTTTTCATTATATAGTAAAAAATAACCCCCCCAGCCCCCACCCCCATGGTGATTTTATATACCACCAAAAGAAAGCTCTATATGTCCCCAAAAAATGTTAACATAAATTGCAAGGCTATGACGGTCATGCTGACTGGTGACATTTTTGACTGACTGGTGAGACACCCTAAAATTTTTCAAGCCCTGTATATAGACTAACAAGGGCTGCCAGTGCACCACAATGGGGAAAAAAGACAAACCTGCAGCAAAATGTATTCAAGGTACTGCAGGTATATGTGCATTGAGGCACTGTAGTTCCATTCACAACAAATGGTCACGTGCAGTAATTTATAATGTGTTAACACATTGCATAGGTATGAAGTCAGGTTAAAACAAGCACTGAA